GGGGCCGTGAAGCACAGTACGGAAGTCTCTCAGAAACGAATCTACCATTACATGGTGATCTAGCAATGCTTCTTCAGGTGTCAATACCAAAGCAGTCAAAACTAGAGACTTGTAGAGAGATAGACTCGTCTGTGTTCAAACTAGTGTTTCTCGGCGTGTGAGCACAGTCTAAGTGTGTCAGCAAAGGGAGAGGTAAATAATGGAACGTGATGTGTGTGTATGCGTGTGTGTGCGTGCGTGTGTGTGTGTGTGCGTGCGTGCGTGTGTGTGTGTGTGCGTGCGTGTGTGTGTGTGTGTGCATGCGCATGTGTGTGTGTGTGTGTGTGTGTGCACATCCAGGTGTGTGTGCTTGTGCTCACAACACACATATGGAGGCCAGAGATCAACTTCAGGGATCTTTCTTCACCACTCTCCACCTTTTTCTGTTTTGTTTTTTTTTGTTTTTGTTTTTGTTTTGTTTTTTTTTTTTTTTTTTTAAGATTGGATTTCTCTGTGTAGTCCTGGCTATCCTGAAACTCACTCTGTAGACCATGCTGGCTCGAACTCAGAGATCCACCTGCCTTTGCCTCCCAAGTGCTGGGATTAAAGGAATGCACCACCACTGCCCAGCCCACAGATATTTTTTTTAAAGTGGCTAAGATAGAAGTTTTATTTTATGTGTATTTTTAAAAGATGTATTTATGTATGTATAGTGTTCTGCCTGCATGTATGTCTGCAGGCCAAAAGAGGGCATCAGACTTCATTACATATGGTTGTGAACCGCCGTGTGGTTTCTGGGAATTGAACTCGGGACCTTTGGTAGAGTGGGCAGTGCTCTTAACCACTGAGCCATCCATCTCTCCAGCCCCTGTGTGAATTTTTATCGTAATAAATCTATATTGTGTTGCTAGATGGTGCCTGAGACTGGCATATGCTCAGTAGAAGATTTGCCACTGAGTTTTATCTCCTGCCTTTGCTGTTTTTTTTGTTTTGTTTTGTTTTTTGTTTTTTGTTTTTTTTTTTTTGCCTTTGCTGTTTTTGAGACAGGACTTCACTCCGTAGCTCAGGCTGAGCTGGAACTCTCGATCCTCCTGTCGCAGCCTCCCAGTCGCAGTGCTGAATTATAAGAATGTGCCTCCATGTCTGGGCATTAAAATAACGGCTCAGGGGTGGGATATCCAAGTAGCTAATAGATCAAATGGGTTTTGCACGGGTGAGGTTGTCTGGAGAAGGCAAGTGCAGACGTTCATGCAGTTTCCCTAAATCTCCACCAGGGGACGGTACTAGCGCATTTGAAAAGACCTAATCTATCTGGGCCTTGTGTATTGAGTTCTGGAGATTAGGGTTGAATCTGGGCTGAGACTAAACCTGGTCAAGGGGTGTCTCCTATAGGTAAACAGTCCCTGGGTCCCACTATTAAGGTTCAATGGGCCGACGCCGGTGTTGAGGCAGGATTCCAGGGGTACATTAGCTGAAGGAACCTTCTTAATGTGCAAAATGAAGCTCAAGGCTGGGGTTGGCGGAGCCGAGCTTGACTAGCTGTAGAAGAAACAGCAAGAAGGTCGGTAGTGTTCCGGGGTTCATGGGCTAGTCAACGATGAAAAGCCATTTTGCAGCAACAATGAGGCCATTTATGAATTATTCCAGCTTTGACCGTATTCTGAGTTTGGGGTTGATTTGTTTATGGGCGGAGCTGGGGACAAAGCCCTGGCCTTGCACACACTTGGCAAGAGCGCTCCATGGAGCCTCCAGGCTCTTGTTATCGTGTTTCTGGAGCCATCAGCCACTCGGTCCAGAGCTCATCACTCAAAACCTGCCCACCTTTGCAGGTGAGGGCATGGTCTCGCTTTGGAAAACAGCAGGTGAGAGCTCAGGCGGGGGGCGGGGGGGGGGCACCACAGCCCAAGGTGACCAGTATTTCCTTCTTCCCCAGTGATTGCCATAAAGACCGTTGCGAAACCCAGTCAGCACCAGTGAGAGGCCTTCTGGCTCCTCCCCCTTAACAGCTTTTGTGTTATTAGTAAAAACCTTCCCTCATCTCCCCACAAAATTTTATTCAGGAATTTTCCAGGAGACTCACATGGTGGCACACTCCTGTAATCTAAGCCTTTGGGAGACAGAGGCAGAAGGATCGTGAGTTCCAGACCAGCCTGGACTAGACAGTAAGTTACAGACGAGTTTAGGTCTCAAAACAACCCAAAACCTCCCCCTCCAGCCCCCAAGCAGCCCACTGTGCTGTGCGCGTGAGGCCAGCACCGAACATTCCCAGCCCGGCAGCTAGTGCTCCCAGCCCAGCCTCTCCCCGTCTTCCTCTCATCTTAGCTATGCTTTTAAATTATTACATTTATTTATTTATTTATTTTATGAGAATGTGTCCCTGCGTACGCATGTCACGGAGTCCATGTGCCGATCAGAGGGCAACCTGTGGGAGTCAGTTCTCCCCGTCCACCTTATGGGTCCCAAGGATTGGGCTCCAGGCTGGTCAGCAAGTGCCTTCACCCAACAAGCTGTCCTACTGGCTCTATTGTGTTTATTTATTTTCTTGATATGTGAATGTTTTTCTCACATGTTTGTATGTGCATCCAACGGTGTCAGATCTCCTGGAGTGGATGGTTGTGAGCTACCATGTGGGTTCTGGGAACCAAACCCGGGTCCTCTGGAAGAGCAGCCTGTGCGCCAGCCTATTTCATTTGCTGCTTTGGTTTTATTTGCCTTTTTGAGGCACGGTTCCAAGGTGACACTCCTGCTTCACCCTTCTCAGTGCTGGGATTGGAGGCGGGAGCCGCCACACCTGGCTCATTCTCAATGGCCCCCTCCCCCGCCCTGCCACGGACCAGCTCAGGGGAGCCACTCAGACCGCGGGAGAAGCAGGGTCTTGGTAACAGGAAGGCACAAGTTCGGCGAATGACAGACAGACACAACACGCAAGAGAGTGCTTGGAATCTGCTGTACTTTTACTAAATTTATGTTTTCATTTTATAGTAATCAAACAAAGAACAAATCAGAAGGCCATGTGTCCACAGGTGGCACAGTATGAAAGCTTCTTTTAGTCACATTATCAGGAACAGGTGTTAGACATAAAACATCCTTAGAAGAGGAAATCTTGTCCTTGGGAATGTAAACCTCAGGCAAGTGGTTTCATCTTATGAATAGAAAGTTTCTGTCTCATTATCGTTATCATGGTCCTTCCTCTTCCTAACCCTTTACTTCGTCTAGTGACCAAATATACCTAATCAGTTCTCTGCACCTGCTGAAATATACTTTTTAGTACCTTCTTATGCAGCAGACACTATGGGGGTTGGGATCTAGCAAGCCTATCCATAAAGTTCAGAGTTTAATATAACAATCTTTGTCCATCAACATTAACCCATCTATTCCCTTGCTCATCATACACCCTGTGTATGACAAAGGTTCTGCTGTAGTCAGAGCTGTTCCTGAAGAGAATGATCCTTGTCTTGTAGATATATAGACTATCATTATTATGAAAGAAATTGTGCAAAGCTCATATCCCGCATAGTCAGCTAACCGAGAAACCTGTCTATGCCTCAGCGGTGGCTAATACCGGGCTGTCTGTCATTGACCTCCAGGAAGCCTAGTCCCATGGGACACGTAGCTCCCGTCCGGCATAATGACATATGTCATGTCACACAGACCACACTGGAGTTGGTGTGGCACCGCCCCAGCTTGCTGCTGCCACGATGTCAGGACACTTCTTCCTCCAGGCCATTATTTGTTTCCATGTGTCTGTGGTCCCACAGGAATTGCACCCAGTGGAATTTGAGGAGTCTCTAGTCTGTGAATCCTCAGGGTTCACATATGGAAAAAAAAGCCATCTTGGGCACGGTGTTGCATGGCTGTAATCCCAACACTTGGGACACTGTGGTGAGACAAGAGAATTGCTGTAAGTTCAAAGGGCCAGCCTGGGCTATACAGTGAGGTTATATTTTGTTTGTTTTAATACTCTAATGGGCCTGGAGAGATGGCTCAGAGGTTGTGAGCCCTGGTTGCTTTTCCAGAGGACCGAAGCTCAGTTCCCAAACTCATGTCAATTGCCTGTAACTCCAGCTCTAGAAGGATCGGAGGCCTCTCTGTGGGTATCTGCACTCAGGAACACAGACAGGCAGGCATGTTATCGGATGAAAGGGTTCTGCAGAGCAAACCTAAAAACTCGACAGATAAAAGCATCTAGAAAACAAACAAGGGCTGGAGAGATGTGCTGATAGTTAGAAGCTTGATAGCTAAAAGTGCTTCTCGCAGAGCTCTGAAGTTAGGCTCTCAGCACCCGCATGGCATCCACAACCTTCTGTAGCTCCAGTTCCAGTGAATCTGATGCCCTCTTCTGGCCATTATGAACACTGCATTCATCTGATACTCAGAAGTTCGTGCAGGCAAAATACACAAATACATAAAATAAAAAGCAAATAAAATTTTAATTAAATAAAGACTTGGTGGCATAGGAAGAGTTCTTTTTTGTTTCATTTCCGTAGAGTCCCTCTGTGTACACCTCGATGTTATCATCCAGCCTATTTGGAGGACATCTGGATTGCTTTCATTTGGGGTTAAGGTCCTTATGGACATTTTTTCCTGATGCCCATGCTCACGTTCTGTAGACTACATGTCTAGCAAGGATAACAGGGCTGTGGGCTATGCGCATTTTAAGTGTGTGCATTAACTCTACCCTGCTGCTCCCTAGAAGACGAACCGATTGCAACAAAAGAGGCGAGATTGCTCTGCTGAGACTGCAAAGCCCAACTGACTTGAACTTGAGTCCCCTGCTCTTGGGTCCAGCCGCTTATTCAGCAGTGCAAGTTGGGCGCCTGAGAACTGTCGGCCTGTCAGGCTGAAGGTTATTGGGGTCTGTCACTGGGGGGTTACCTGTCCTGACACTGTTATTCTGACCTCTGTCCCTAACTATTAATTATTAACTGCCCCCCTCCCCAAGAGCCTGCTATCCTAAAGATTTGCGCAGTTAATCAGTCACTGCCCCCTCGCTGGGCAAGGGGCATTTGGTAGATCTGCTGTCTGCCCCTGGGGTGGTGTGTGACCAGGGACTTAACAATGCTCTGGACACGTCTGCCGCTCTCCTGCCACTCCAAACCCTCTACAGCTGACTGGCAGCCCCTGCGTTTTGATGGTGGGGCCTTCCATCTCAAGAAAACAGCGGAGCTGGCGCGGGCTTTGCTGGTGCTTCGCCTGTGCGCCTGGCCCCCGTTGGTTACCCATGGACTCGCGGTGAGGAGCCGGCACAAGGACTGGTCTGAAATTGCCCAGACCTGGCTCTGAGCCCTCACTCCCTATCACCCAGTTTCAGGCCTGGTCTCAGCGACTCCTGGGCTCCCGTCTCTCGGGCGCACTTCTCCGGGCATCCATCTATGGGCAGTTTGTGGCCGGGGAGACAGCAGAGGAGGTGAGGGGCTGTGTCCAGCAGCTGCAGGCGCTAGGACTCCTGCCTCTGCTGGCAGTACCCACGGAGGAAGAACCGGACTCCACTGCCAAGACCAGGTGAGCAGAGAGAGGGCAGGGCCAAAGGAGGATGGGATGAGGGTAGGAAGGGGACCCCTAGGCTCTGGAAACTGACTTCCACTGGCCGGGCAGTGAGGCCTGGTATGAGGGGAACCTCAGCACCATGCTGCGCTGTGTGGACTTGTCACGAGCTCTCGTGGACACCTCTGGCCCAGCCAGAAATAGCCTCATGCAGCTGAAGGTGACGGCGCTAACCAGCCCTCGGCTTTGTGTAAGTGACAAGTGAGATGGGGGAGGGGGACACAGGTGTGGCTACCCAAGGCTACCCTCACCCACCTCAGCCACCACCCCATTTCAGAAGGAGCTATCGACTTGGATCCAAAAGTCAACAGGCTCCTCGGAGCTGAGCCCTGAGAGACTGGCAGAAGCTATGGACTCAGGCAAGGTAAGGAACAGAGGTGGCGGTCACTGAGGGTATAGTTGACATGGATAAATATGGATCACATGGGAGAGGGGCTTGGATGAGAGGCTTACCAGAGGGGGCTCAGGACAGCAGCACTTTCTCCGCAGAGAACAGGGCAGGAGGAGATCAGCTGCTGAGCATGGCAGGGCATACTTCTAATGCCAGCACTTGGGAAGCAGAGGCAGGAGGATCAAGTCTCTGAGGTCAGCCTGGGCTATGTAGTGAAACTTGTCTTGAAAACGCAGGGTGGAGAGATGGCTCAGCGATTAAGAACACTTGTTGCTCTTGCAGAGGACCCAGGTTTCGAGCACCCACATGGTGGCTCACAACCACACATAACCCCACTTCCAGAGGATGCAGCCCTCAATCCCAACTGCCACGGACACCAGGCATACCTATAGTGCACATACAAACATGCAGGCAAAACACCATGCACATAACTTAAAAACTACACATGTATTTTTGGTGGTGGTGGTTTTGTTTTTAAGGCAGGGTCTTATGTATCTCAGGCTGGTCTTGAGTTCTCTGTACAGTCAAGGAAGACTTTGAACTCCTGATCTTCCTGCCCCCACCTCCCAACTTGCTAGAGATACAGACATGTACCATTGTATCTGGTTTAAAGAAAAAAATGTTTTAGTCAATCAGCGGCCACACTGGTGTGTGCTTGCTGCAGTCAACAGCGGCCACACTGGCGTGTGCTTGCTGCACCAGCTCTAAGCCCTTGGTCTCTTCCCCTTGTCTTGCTTTGTTTTATGAAGCAGGATCTTACAATGTAACCCAGCCTGGCCTGGAACTTGCAATCCTCCTTCTTGGCCTCCCCAGTCCTGGGATGACTGATGTTTGCAGTCATGCCTGACCCTGATGAAGTCCTTGCATCATTCATTCATTCATTCACTCACTCATTCATTCATTCTTCCATTCCTTATTATTCCAGTATCTCCCCCCCCCCCCCTCTCTCTCTCTCTCTGTGTGTGTGTGTGTGTGAGAGAGAGAGAGAGAGCATGCATCTGTCCATGCGCATGTACCTGTGGACATCAGAGGCTGGAAACAGGTACATTCCTTATTCACTCTCCATTTTTTGTTTTGTTTTGTTTTGTTTTTTGAGACAAGGTCTCTTTACATAGCCCTGGCTGTCCTAGAATTCATCATGTAGACCAGGCTAAGGTGGATCTCACAAAGATCAGCCTGCTTCTGCCTCTCAAGTGCTGGGATTGAAGGCATTTGCCAGCACACCAGCCTGTCCCATTTTATGTTTTAACAGGCAGGCTCTCGCTGAACCTGGAGCTCACTGTAATGGCTACACTGGCTGACAGGAGCCCCAGGATCCCCGGGTCTCCATCCCTGAAAGCCTGCTAGGGTTACAGTAGCCCAGTCTGTTCGGAATACACAATTCTCCTGCCTCAGCTTTTTCAGTGCTGGGATTATAGGCATTTGCCACTATACTGGGCCTCTTTTTTATTGTTCTATGAGTTTGAGAATTTTTTGTAACAAAATGTTAACAAGCAAGGCATAACTGTACACTTCTAGAAGCCCAGCACTCAGAGGTTGAAGTGAGATCTCCAGTGTAAAGCCATCCTGGGATACAGAGTGGTGTCCTGTGCAAAAACAAGCAAACAAAAGTAAACAAGAACTACAGATGAGGCCTGGGGGTAGAATTTCCCTAGAATATACCAGTAAGAGGTCGGGGGAATAACTCAGTGGTAGAGCCCCTGCCTAGAATCCCCCAGTGAGGGGCTGGGGTATAGCTCAGTGGTAGAGCCCCTGCCTAGAATCCCCCAGTGAGGGGCTGGGCTGTGGATATGTAATAGAGAGCTTGCCTAGTCTTCACAAGGTCTGGGTTTATCCTCAGCACTGCAGGGAAAATGATTAAAAAGTAAAAAGTTCATTGTGCAGTGATCGCCCACACACCTGCACCTTTAACATTTAGCCACACTGCCATCCCAGTAAACCACCTTTAGATACCAACACTTGAAATGGCCTGGCATTATTTGCCTATAAGCTGTGCATATCCTCCCATGCCCTTTAATCCTCTCTGGGCAACTTGTCACCGCATGCAGCACAAATACTGCACAAACGGCCGCCCTGCAGCATCGGGGAGGATGTATCTAAGCATCTATCCTGCTGCTGTAATAACCACTCTGGTGAAAGTAACTGCAGGGAGGAGGGTTGATCTGGGCTTCATAATGTGTGGTGCAGTCCGTCATCACGGGAGATGGGGCGGCAGGAGGTTGAAGCAATTGGTCCCTCGGAATCTAGGATCAGAAAGCAGGGAGCCACGGGTGCTAGTTTCTTGCTGCTTAGCTCCATTCCTCCATCGTGCAGTCCAGGATCCCCACCAAGGAACGTGCACCACCTCTGCGGGTGGATCTCCCCACGGCAACACAAGACAATCCTCCACAGGCATGCCCGGAATGCTGGTCTCTCAGCTTGACTGTTCTAACCATCTCAGGATAACGACAGCATACGACTGTCTACGCTCAGTGTAGGTGCAGGGTTTTCCTTTTTCTTTTTCTTTTTTCTTTTCCTTTTTCTTTCTTTTTATTTGTTTTGTTTTGTTTTTCAAGACAGGGTTTCTCTGTGTAGTTCTGGCTGTCCTGGACCCCACTTTGTAGACCAAGCTGGCCTCTAACTTGCAGAGTTTCCCCCTACCTCTGCCTACTAGGTGCTGGGATTAAAGGTGTGCACCACCACTGCCTGGCTGGCTTTTTCTTTTTAAATAAATCACTTTATTTTTATTGCATGTGTGTGCACCACATGTGGGCAGTGCCCTCAGAGGCCCTAAGAGGGCGGTAGCTCTCCAGAAGCTAGAGAGGCACACCGTCTCCTGCCGTTAGTGCTGGGAACTGAATTCTGGTAAAGCAGGACATGGTGTCTCCAGCTCTGCAAGGCTTTTCTGAAATTTTTTGACCTGCCATGGGCCGAATCCATGGAAACAGAATCTAGAGTTGGGGCGGGGGAGGTAATGGCACCTGCTGCCCATGGACCCATCTTACTTTGTGATGCTTCTCAGTGGCTGACGTCAGTTCACTTCTGCACCAAGTGCTTCAGGCTGTGAAACACGCGGGTTAAAGCTTCCTAATTGTTTAAGCTAGATTTGTCTTAAGAGTTAAAAAGATTTTTGTTGAATGAAAACTACAAATCAAAGCGAGTTTGGCTATAAACACCTCCAAACCAGCACTTGGGAAGTGGAGGGAGAAGGAGCAGAAGCTGGAGGTTTTCCTTGACTACACAGTAAATTTAGGTGAGCCTGGGATACATGAGATCCTGCGGGGGCAAAGATAAGCCTTGATGAACTTCAGCAAACACACACAGTAGGACCACACAGATCCCCTTCCATACATGGGGACTTCCCATCACTGCAGAATCCCCGTCAGTCTGACGGTGAGTTTTGTTTTGTTTGATCTTTTCTTTTTTACTTATTTATTTTTTAGGTTGGGGCTCATATAGCCCAGGCTGGCCTTTCACTCATTTTGTAGCCCAGGATAGTCTTTAGCTCCCGATCCTCCTGCCTCCATCTTCTGATAGGATTACAGGTGTGCACTGCCATGCCTGGTTTATGAGATAGTTCCATGTCTTTTTTGAGACTGGGTCTCACTCTGACTTTCTAAACTCTCTCTCTTTCTTTTCTTTTTTATTATCTTTTAAAATTTTACTGCTTTCATGTATTTGTTTGTTTGTTTCTTTGTTTGGTGTGTGTGTGTGTGTGTGTGTGCACCCCTGTAAACACACATGACAAAGCATGGAGTGGAGGGGTCAGAAAACACTTTCAAGGAGTCAGCTGTCTCCTTCTGCCACGTGGGTCCTGAGACTTGAACTCGGGTCATCAGGCTTCGCAGCAGGTGGCTCAGCCACTGAACCATCTCGCTGGCCCTCCTTCTTTCCCACTGGATAGACTAGCCCAGGCTTCTTCAGCCTCTCAAATCGCAAGATTGCAGCACAGGCCACTACACCCTGCGAGTCACTTTCTGATTTCTCACAAATTCTTCACAAACAGACAGACAGACACACACATACACATACTTTACCTGTGAAAGAGGGGACTTGGGTCCTGGAGGGAGCCAGTGGTCCTGAGCACTGTCCCCTTCCCTAATGCCCCTTAGAACCTGCAGGTCTCCTACCTCAACGCCGAACAGAATCAGCACCTGCAGGCCTCTCTCAATCGCTTACATCAAGTGGCCCAGGTAACACGTGGGTGCCCTGGTTCCCCACCTCGCGGACACTGCTGGCCCTGACACCTTTCTCTCCCCCTTCAGTATGCCCGGGCCCAGCACATGAGGCTCCTGGTGGACGCGGAGTACACTTTCATCAACCCCGCCCTCTCCCTGCTCGTGGCTGCCCTGGCCTTGCGCTGGAACAGACCAGAGGAAGGCGGGCCCTGGGTGTGGAACACTTACCAGGCCTATCTGAAGGTGGGCAGTGTGCTCTAAAGGGCTGTGGGTGGGGACCCAGCACCCTGACCCTCCTGAGTCTGCCTGTGCATCCTGCAGAAAACTCACGAACGGCTGGAGCAGGATGCTGATGCTGCACACAAGGCTGGCCTGGCGTTTGGGGTGAAGTTGGTACGAGGTGCCTATCTGGACAAGGAGAGAGCCATGATGCAACTCCAGGGGAAGGAAGATTGCACTCAGCCTGACTATGAGGCCACTAGTCGAAGGTAGGGACAAGGCTGAGAGGCTATAGGAAAAATAATAAATACTATAATATGTCACAAGGCTGAGGAGGCAATGATAGGGTTCCTATCGCTGGGAAGAGACGCTGTGACCACAGCAACTCTTATAAAGAAAACATTTCATTGTGGTAGCTCGCTTACAGTTCAGAGTTCACAGTCCATTATCATCACGACAGGACATGGCAGTGAGCAGGCAGACATGATGCCTGAAAGGTAGCTGCTACATGTTGATATACTGGCAACAGGAAGTAGACTGACTCACTGGGTGTGACTTGAGCATCTGAGACCTCAAAGCCTCCCTCCACAGTGACACACTTCCTCCAACAAGGCTACACCTCCCATTAGTGCCAGCACAACAGAAAAAGTGATTGTTGCATGAGGACCGAGTGCCAGGGTACACAGCTGTGACTCCAATGCTCCGACATTGGAGACAAGCAGATGCTCTAGGCTCACTAGGGGTCAAGGCAGCTGAAACATCCATCTCTAGGTTCAGTGAGAGACCCTGACTCCAACAGTAAGATGCACAGAGTTGGAGGAAGAGACCCAACATTGATCTCTGCCTTCTACATGTGCATACATAGGGAGCAAACATGTACGTGCATAAGTGCGCACACGCGCGCACACACACACACGTGCACGCGCACACACACACACACACACTCACGAATCCACATGTGGTATCTTGTTCTGTGTTGAGAAAACAGACAGGAGGATCCCTGGAGCTCACTGGCCAACAAGTCCAACCTAATCAGCAAGCCCCAGGTCCCAGTGAGAGACCCTGTCTCAAAACACAAGGTGGAGGGTGACAGCGCAGGGGATAAAGTGCTTGTCTCAAAAGCACAGTCAGATCCCCAGAACCCATAGGAAAAGCTGAGCCAGTGTGGTGGCTGCCTGTCATTCCAGACTTGAGAAGCAGAGACAGGGGGTCCCAGGGGACAAGCTGCTAGCTAGACTAGACAGAACTGATGAGCCTGGGTCCAGTGAGAACCTGTCTTAGTAAATAAAGTGAAGATCCATTGAGAAAGACACCCAGCGTCAACCTTGGGTCACAACCCACACACGTACACTTGTGCACATGAACACACAGACATGTGTGCATGCACAAGCACACGTACACACACTTAAAATTTTAAAATAGTATGTAACTCTTCTTCTGGGGGTAAAGCAGGTTGCATAAGCCTGACAGTCACTCTGCCACTGAGCCACGCCCCCAGCCCCTCACTGGGGGATTCTAGGCAGGGGCTCTACCGCTGGCCCACGCCCCCATCCCTCACTAGGGGATTCTAGGCAGGGGCTCTACCACTGAGCCACACTCCAGCCCCTCACTGGGGGATTCTAGGCAGGGGCTCTACCACTGAGCCACAACCCCAGCCTCTCACTGGGGGATTCTAGGCAGGGGCTCTACCACTGAGTCACACCCCCAGCTCCTCACTGGGGGATTCTAGGCAGGGGCTCTACCACTGAGCCACACTCTAGCCCCTCACTGGGGGATTCTAGGTAGGGGCTCTACCGCTGACCCACGCCCTCAGTCCCTCACTGGAGAATTCAACCACTAAACTCCAGCCCTCCTTTACTTTTGTTTTTGAAACAGACTTGCTAAGTTCCCAGGGTGACCTTGAACTCACTGTATAGCACAGGCAGACTTTGAACTTGCAATCCTCCTGCCTCATTGTCCAAAGTAACTGGAATGACAGACCTGCCCCACCAGGCCTGTACAATGGATGTCATCTCTCACTTGCTCATCACCAGCCATGGGGGTCTGTGCCAAACATCTTGTGTGTGTGTTCACGTCACTTCCTCTCCAGGATTTGGAACACTGTTGTTTCCCACCTAGACAGCAATGTCCTCCTTCACCCCCAAAACCCCAACCCTCAACCCCCTCCCAGCTTACAGCTTTCCTCCGCACATCATCATTCCTAAGGCTGCCTCCCCATTGGTGGACACCTGGGTTATTATGAATCTTCTGTAGATGTATTCATCACTCTTCTTGATGCTTGACAAAATCCCCGACAGTAGCAAGTTAAGGAAAGAAGGGCTTGTTTTAACTCATGTTTGAGGGGACAGAGTTCATAGTATCAGGGCGGCATGACAGTGAGAGGCAGCTGATCACATCACGTCCATGCCAGGAAGCAGAGAGGACTGGATGCCAGTGCTCCGCCAATTCCACCAACCCCTCTAAGATTTGTTTGTTTTGTTTGGTTGTTTTTTTGTTTGCTTTTGTTGGTTGGTTTTTTGAGATAGGGTTTCTCTGTGTGATAGTCCTAGCTCGTCTGGAACTAGCTCTTGTAGACCAGGCTGGCCTCAAACTCACAGAGATCCACCTGTGTCTCTGCCTCCTGAGTGCTGGGATTAAAGGCCTGTGCCACCATGCCTGGCTCTTACTTTCTCTTTTTTGTTTTTTAACCAAGGGCCACAATACATAAAATGGTGCCACCCACATTCAGTGTGTGTCGCAGGGGCGTAGGGGTTCTTTCTTTCCCAGTTAAACTTCTGTGACAATGTCCAATGCCATCACGGACATGCCAGGAATTTTCTCTTATACATAATGTCCACATCATGTCATATTGAAAATTAAGACAACCAGTTAAGACAGGGCTGGTGAGGTAAATAAAGGTGCTTGCCACCAAGCCTAATGGCCTGAGTTCCATTCCTAGGATCTCTGTGGTAGAGGGGGAGACCATGTGGAGAGACCTCCACGTGTATGCTCTAGAATACACACACACACACACATACACACTGAAAAAAAATATTATTTAAGAAAAAAATCCACCCATGCTATAGAGACCAATCCTGGGTAGTGCCATCTTGGGCGGAGACATGGTTTTGCTCTGAGACAGTCATTGGGTCAGAAGCCGTCCACTTCAGAAGCCCATGCTCGTCATCCCTGTTGATGAGAGGCTAAGGCGGGACATAATGAGCCTGAGTGTCAGAACAAAACAAAGTCCTGCTTTTCACCCCAACGTCCATCCTGACTTCTACTAAGGAAGCTTGATAAAGGTTACATGAGAGGGCAACGGTTCTGAGGAGCTCCTGCCTGAAGACCAAAGGAGGCAGGGGTCCCATCGTCCATTGCACTTGGCCCTCACTCCCTGGAGAGCTGAACAGAACTTCCCCCTTCAGTTACAGTCGCTGTCTGGAGCTGATGCTGCGCCGCGTGTCCCAGCATGGTCCCCTGTGCCACCTCATGGTGGCTTCTCACAATGAAGAATCCGTTCTTCAAGCAACTAAGCGGTAGGAGGTTGGAGGAGGGGAAACCAGTATGCCTAAGAAGCCCCATCCCTCTCTGTGACTACAAGACAGTGATGGGAAGGCAGTAGTGTCGGGGGGACAATGAGGAGGTACATAGGGGGATTTTAATTCCAACCTGGCATGATGATACACACCTGTTGTCCTCAGAAGGCGGAGGCAGGAGGATCAAGAAATTGATGCCAAATGGGTTACACAGTAATAAGGTTTTTTTTTTAATTAGCCTCTTTTATGCCTGTGTATGTCCCATAGGCTCAGATGTGAAAGGCATTGCTCCTTATTTCCTGAGACATAGGAAGGACTGGGGACTCCAGAGAGCAGCTGAGGCTCAATGGGTGGAAGTCTCATGAGAGCCCATGAGAATTGTTATTGATTAATGGATTTGACTTATATATGTGTGTGTGTGTATGTGTACACCCATGAATGTAAGTACCAGGGGAGGCCAAAAGAGAGTGCTAGACTCCCTGGAGCTGGGGTTACAGGCATTGTGAGCTGCCTGACTTGGGTATTGGTAACCGAACTGGGCTTCTCTGCAAAAGCAAGAGCTCTTTGTTAAATTTTATTTGACTTTTTAAAAATGTTATGGATTTGGGCATTTTGCCTGCATGTGTAATGTGTGCCCATGTGCCTGCCTGGTGCCTGCAAAGACCAGAAGGGGGCACCAGATTCCCTGGAACTGGAGTTGTAGACAGTTGTTGAGTCACCATGTGGGTGCTGCGAGTCCAGTCGTGTCCTCTGGGAGAGCAGTCAGGGCTTTTGACCACAGAGCCATTTCGCCAGCCCTGCAGTGGTATTTGACATCAGGTTTGGGGCTAGAGTCATTTCTCAGAATCTGTGCAAATTTGTCCTAGGACCAATTTCCATGGAAACCAACATTTTCAGATGTTCAAGTCACACACATCGGATGACATAGTATTTGAATATTTGCATATGACCCACGAACATCCTCCTGTAGGCTTGAAACCGTCATGCTTATTCACAACACCTAGAGCAATGAATGTAAACGCTACATACATAGTTACACCAATCTAAGGGGGAAACCTGTGCCGGTGTTTACACAGACCTGATCCACCCTCATATCCGATCCCTGGTTGAATGTGTGGGTGTGGAATGTGGATCCAGCTGGCCAACTGCTCTTCCTCCATATTTGAATGCTCCGGTGGCTGGCTGGTCTCTAGATGTAGCCACTGTCTGGACTGATAACACGACCCCCTTCTGCAGTATGTGGGAGCTGGGCATTCCTCTGGATGGGCCGGTCTGTTTTGGACAACTTCTGGGCATGTGTGACCACGTCTCCCTGGCACTAGGTATGTGAATGGCTCACCCTCAACCTTCCACCCCCACCCTCACCCTCTCATTCCCTCTCACCTGGAGCCCTCCTGCTGTTTCCGGTCATGAACTGGCCCCACTCTCACAGAGAACCTGCAGCTGGCCCACCCTCCAGTTCCTCCCGGACGCATCAGTATTCCGGGATTTGGAACCCTCACAGGGATATGCCCTGTGTCTTCTCTCCTGACCTGTGCTGGTTCTCGTTTATGGTGCCATATTGCCTGCACTTTAGGGTCCTGACTGCTGCTCCCTAAGGCCTTAGACTGGATTCCTTCTATTGATTTTTATTGAACTCTACATTTTTCTCTGCTCCCCTTCCCGCCTCTCCCCTCCCCGCTTCAACTCTCCCCCAAGGTCCCCATGCTCCCAATTTACTCAGGAGATCTTGTCTTTTTCTACTTCCCATGTAGATTAGATCTATGTAAGTTTTTACTTTCATAATTATTGAATTAGTCTTCTTGCTCTCTTAGAAGTATCTTTTTTTGTTGTTTTTTGAGGCAGAGTTTCTCTGTATCTCTAGCTGTTCTAGAACTCACTCTGTAGACCAGACTGGCCTCAAACTCACAGAGATACGCCTGCCTCTGCCTCCCGAGTACTGGCATTAAAAGTGAGTGCCACTACCGCCTGGCTCTTAGCATTATCTTAATAAACTGAGGGGTTTTTTTGTTTTGGTTTGGTTTTTTTTTTTGCTAGATGGTGGTACAAACCTGTAATTCCAGCACTCAGGAGGCTGAGGCAGATTTGGGATTAGAATTGAGCCTGGACTACATAATAAAAGCCAATCTCATACCAACCAATCAGAAAGAAAGGAAGGAAATGAGGAAGGGAAGGATGGACAAGAGGAAAATTGTTTCTCTTAAATGTTTGCTGTAGAGTGTTTTAGTAGTGAATTATGTCTAACTCACCCAGTCTGCCATGTTCTGAGCAAAGGAAGTAGCATTGCTGCCGATGCCCAGGGACCTCTCTCTGTCTCTCTCTCTATCTCACTCTCTCTCTCAACCCACACTCTGCCAATACTCTTCCCAACAGGACAGGCTGGATATTTGGTGTATAAGTCTATCCCCTATGGCTGCCTGGAGGAGGTGATCCCCTACCTGATCCGGAGAGCCCAGGAAAACCGGAGTGTGCTGCAGGGTGCCCGCCGGGAACAAGCACTGCTCAGCCAAGAACTGTGGCGGAGGCTGCTGGGAAGGAAGGCCTGAGGGTTACTCCATCAGCACCGTAGGGGCCATGTGCTCAATAAAGGTCCAGAGACTCTGCCTTTGCCTGTATCTCCCTGAAGCTGCCTCCTTGGGGAAGGGCTGATCCTGGCCTCGGCCAACAGAGGTGGCTCAGATAGATGGGGCATGTCTGAAACTCAAGAGGTCTTTGGTCCTGTGTGGTGACCTTTGGAAGGCTGGGGCAGGAGAATCATGAGTTCCAAGCCAGCCTGGGCTTCACAGTGAGTTCCAAGCCATCTAGAGCTACATAGTAAGGAGGAAGAGGAAGAGGAGGAGGGGAGAGAGAATGTGTGTGTGTGTGTGTGTGTGTGTGTGTGTGTGAGTGTGTGTGTGTGTGTGTGTGTGTGTGTGTATGTCTTTAGATGACCCAGGGTGATAATGACTTGAGGCCGTCTATCCTGTAATGAACTTGGTCAGGGTTCTATTCAAGAATTCTTTCCATCTCAGAGGATGTGCAATAAATAACACAGATGAAGAGCAGGCACTAACAAAAGGCTGGGCCAAGGCCATGTGCCCAGGAGGGGAAGACCATTCTTTCAGCCAATAAGCACCAATGGACAGGCTGGGGAGATGACTCTGTCAGGAAAATGTCTGATGCCCAAAGACATGAGGACCTGAGTTTAACCTCCAGTCGCCATATAAAACTCCAAGCCTCATGTGTGTACAGGCTGATACAAACAGATATCGGTCGGCCAGCCTGGCCCAATTGGTGAGACACAAGTCCCAGCAAGGGATGTTGTCTCAAAAAAAGGGTAGCACCAGGAAGCTGTCTTTGTTGGGTTTTCTATTGTTGTGAAGAGACACCATGACCACAGCAATTCCCATAAATAAAACATTTAATTGGGGTGACTCACTTAAAGTTTCAGAGGTTCGGTCTATTATCATCAAGATGGGGAGCATGGTGGCATGCAGGCAGACATGGTGCTGGAACTGAGAGTCCTACATCTTGAGACAACAGGAATACTAGGCGGTATTATGAGCATATGAAACCTCCAAGCCTACCCCCACAATGGCACACTTCCTCCAACAATGCTATACATCTCCTAATAGTGCCACTCCCTATGAGATTGTGAGGGCCAATTACATTCAAACTACCACAGAAGCACAGGCAGGAATATTATAGTTTCAAGACTAGCCTGGACTACATAGTGAGACTCTATCTCAAAAACAAAACAAGAACTGAGGACTCTTACCAAGAATTCCCCGGGGAGAGCCTGGAGCTTGGCTCAATGGTAGATACAGTACATGCTTAACATATACAAGAGCTTGAATTTCATCTCCAGCACTGTAAATAATAATAAAGTTACAAAGATGGAAAGGAGCAGGACAGTGGTGGTGCACACCTTTAATCCTTGCACTTGAGAGGCAGAGGCAGGTGGATCTCTGAGTTCGAGGTACAGAGCAAGTCTCAGGACAGCCAGGGCTACACAGAGAAATCTTATCTCAAAAAACCAACAACAAAGAGGAAAACACACAGAGAAATGGTACAGGTTAAGGAGTGAGAATCTAAGGGCAGAGGGATGCATGGCACTAAATGGTATAGCCTCAGGATTTGATCTGTGTTCCAGCCAGAGGCAACAGGAATTGTAGTAATAAGAGCGGCAGGCCTGCATAACCGGCACCCGGCCGCCCACATGGCTAGCTCTAGCTTATGCCTGAAATAATTACACCGAAACTGTATTCTTTTAAACACCACTTGGCCCATTTCTATCTAGCCTCTTCTAGGCTAGCTCTCGCACCTGGACTAGCCCATTTCTAATAATCTGCTGTAGCCCACGAGCTGGCTTACCAGGAATGATCTTAACCTGCGTCTGCCTGGAGTGGGAGAATCATGGCGACTCCCTGACTCAGCTTCTTTCTCCCAGCATTCTGCTCTGTTTACTCCTCCCACCTATGTTTTAAGCTATGAGGGCCAAGCAGTTTCTTTATTGCTTAACCAATGAAATCAACAGATTGATATATGACACTCCCACATCACTTCCCCTTTTTCTGTTTAAACAAAAAAAGGAAGGCTTTAACTTTAACATAGCAAAATTACATATAACAAAACAGTTATCAAGCAAGAATTACAGTTACAATATTTATATCTATTTTATCTTTTATCATAACTAAGGAAAACTATAACTATCCATTCTTCAACTCCATCAAAGACTCCAGAAGGATATAATAATACCTAAGTAAACAAGAAGTCCAAAACTCTAGAAATGACAGAGACATCTCACTGCCTGGACAGTCACCCAAAGTTCCTCTGTACCGTTGGGGCATCCATCTTTAGCCTTCAGGCCCATAGTATCCAGCAGACATTTTCATCAAGCAGGAAATTCCAAAGACAGTTCAGTCACTATCTGCTGTGTCCTGTAGAATGTCTCACAGACTCTTTCATGAGTCAGGAACCCCAAAAGATCATCTCACCTTTAGACAAGTTCAGCAGTCCTCTCTCTGTGGGTTCTCTTTGTCCAGTTTATGCAACAGTCCAGGCAAGAACAGTTTCTTGCCCAAATGGCTATCAAACTCCATAAGGATCCTCTTCAATGCCCATCTTCTTCTTGAAGTAGATTGGTGCTGCCAAGAGCAGAGTGTCTCATTGTCATGAAAATTTCTAAGTTATTAAAACATTTAGAATGCCATATTCTGCGGTCTTTGAAACAAATGAAGAATGTCTATCTAACTGAAATGTATTTCTATATATCTAGAAAATCTAACTAACATGACTACAAACTTTACTATCATCGATGATTATCCATTAGTAACCTATATTTCCTATTATACATTACATTTTAAAAGAACTACACAATCACAATACCTTAATCAATATCAGAAATACATATACATATAACAAAATTGACCTTAAAATCCATACCAATGCAAATTATTCATACCTATGTCATTTCCCCCTTTAAATGTAAAAGAACATTTATAAACAATATTTTGGGAACATGGGCGCAGTTTTTTCTCTCCAAACTGTTTTCTGCTGAATGGGGGCACTGTTAATCAGATCATTTAGGGTATAACCTGTGTGCCAGGTCTCAGTTGGCAGTTGAGTGAAGTAATTTTTTGAGGGTGTTCACAGGAACTTTTTGGGAGGTCGTGGTCTATCATACCAAATTGGGATAGATGCAATCCACAGGGTCTGGTCCTCTGTGAAAACAAAAGAAGACCCGCTCCAAAGCATCATATCCTTAGACCCAAATTTTGAAATCGTAATACCCTTATGATATTTGTTCTGGTTCCATTTGGCAGTCCATATAATGAAATGTCTGTCTGTACTTAGCTCCTTCACAGTCAAAAATTTTAAAGAAAACACAATGTACATAATCCAGACTCTCTGTGAATTTTCCATTTTTACGTGGCTTATTTTTCTTTATTTCTTTTAATCTATAATTATCTGTACTTTGTCTCTTTAAAGACTTTACCTTTTTTTAAAAATTATTAACTTTATTCTTTATATTCTTTTTCTTTTCTCTCTCAAGCCTACATACATTCATCCAACAGTGTCTGAATCTGTTTCATTGTGAATCTGTAATTTTTTTTTATTTTTATTTTATTTATTTATTTATTTATTTTTGGTTTTTCGAGACAGGGTTTCTCTGTGGCTTTGGAGCCTGTCCTGGAACTAGCTCTTGTAGACCAGGCTGGTCTCGAACTCACAGAGATCCGCCTGCCTCTGCCTCCCGAGTGCTGGGATTAAAGGCATGCGCCACCACCGCCCGGCTTGTAATTTTTTTTTATTATTATCCAGGGGCACTTTGTTTTGCAGTTTTAAATCGTTAAGCACTTAAGAATCTAAGCTGTGACATTCCTAGGTCAAAAACAGGTACTGCCAGCTTGCCCCACCCAGTCCAACATGGTGGAGCCACTCGTGCCTCTGAGCCACAGCAGGCAATGACTTTCTTTAAGGCACACAGCGAGTCTAGTTGCCATCAAACAAATCATAGCACTTTACTCCAAATGCTCCATTCAAAAGCTCTGTCTCCCGCAGGAGCCAGACAGAGATCGCAATGGCGGCACAGCCCAGAAAGCCGGCATTTTAAAACAGCCAGTTTTTTCCTGCTGCTGAGTCAGTGTTGGTGGCGTGCTGTAGAGAGATTTCCTAATTCGGCAACAGCAGCAAAACTCTGCGTTAAACTCTGTTTTTTTTCTGTTTAAAGTTAAGTTCTCCCAGGTTTTTAAGTGGATTTTGCCCCACGTTGGGCGCCAAATGTATCGGCGTAAATAAATGCAATGCAGATATTAAAGAATATTTACCACTTTAATGGTAAACTTACAGAACCGAAGTTCCCATGTGGCACAGGAGGTAGGAAGAAAAGGGCGGAGCCGCCTCCTGTGCACCCATTTATCTGTAGGCATTCGCCCGAGGCAAACCCCGCCCCCTAAAGGGGCTGTCTTAACCCTACAAGGAATCGTGGGCATTACAGGTGGAGGAGACATGTGTCAGGTTCCTCTACCATGTGGAGGGTGGGCCAAAGGAAGGCAATGATGCTAGGCAGTGATCTCTTGCTTCAAGTGTTGTAGACAGAAGTTTCTATCCCACCTGGTCCCACAGCTATTCAGTCCCAAAGAAACAGAGGCTTATACTAATTATAAGCTGTTTGACCAACTGCTCAGGCTTATTACTAACTAGCTCTTATAACTTAAATTAACCCATAATTCTTATCTATGTTTAGCCTCGTGTCTTGGTACCTTTTCTTAGTAAGACAGTCTCATCTTGCTTCCTCTGCGTCTTGCTGGTGACTGACTCTCTACCTTTCCTCTTCCAAGAATTCTCCTAGTCTGGTTACCCCACCTATACTTCCTATCTGGCTACTGACCAATCAACGTTTTATTAAACTAATATGAGTGACAAATCTTTACAGTGTACAAGAGCATTGTCCCACATCAGAGTGGTAGGAATGGGAACAAGCTGCCCACTATGAACAAGTAAGGCAAAGCTCCTTGATGCAGATCACGTGACACTGCATCTAAAACTGAATGGAGCCAGCCCAGACTAGAGGAGACCAAATTGGTCACCCAACACAAAGGGTGTCAGACTTTTATTGGTGCAGGAGGGGCAT